TCATCTCCATGCTTTCTACTCTTGCATGCAAGCCCAGAACGCCTCTGATGCGTTGATGTGCAAAATCTTTCCCTCTACTCTCCGAGGTAATGCTCAAACCTAGTACTACAGTTTACCACCGAGGTCAATCAGCTCTTATACAGAAATGGCATCTGCTTTTGCCACGAAGTTTTCCAGTAGAAGGTTGATCAAGAAAACTACTTTCGAGCTAATGCAAGTTAGGCAAAGGGACGGAGAGTCTTTGAAGAATTTTATGAGCAGATTCAATGATGCAGTACTGGAGGTTAACTCCTTCGACTAGGCTGTGGGAATTACAGCTGTGATCTCAAGTCTCAGCCATGAGAGATTCAGGGATAGCCTACTTAAACATCCTGCCACCACCTTCAGCGAGGTAAATGATAGATCACTGAAATTCATCATTGCTGAGGAATATGCCCTGTCGCAGAACCCAGTCCTTATTAAGAACCAACACCCAGACTGGAGAGATGAGAATCCGAACAGGAAGCGGATGAAGACAACACAGAACCGAGGTCCGATGCCGACTTCACCCTGAGATTCGGAAGGCCGAACTCAACACCTCCACAACAACCTGCCGGTAAACCTCCCGTTACTTAGACTCCTTTTAACTTGCTGAGGTCACAAATCTTTATGCAGATTAAGAACAAGATGGATCTAAGGCGTCCTGGTCCGATGAAAACTGCTCCTGTTAGCCGCAATCATACTAGATATTGTGATTTCCATCAAGATCACGGTCATACAACAGAGCAATGCAACAGTTTGAGGTCCGAACTGGAAAGTCTTTCCTAGAAGGGATTGTTAAATGAGTACATTCAGAGAGCTGAACAGCCATGGTTTGTTAGAGAACAAGGGCCACCACCTCAAGGAGTCCGTAACCCGCCAAACCGACAAGGTGTGGGATACTAGCAAACCCCACCTCCGCTCCCCCCACTAGCTAGAATCATACATATGATCACGGGAGGCTTGGAAGCCGGAGGACTAAGCTCTAAGCAGCGAAAGTTGTATGTCAGAGAGGTTAAGCATTAGAACCGAGCTCAGAAGCGAAAGTTTGACGATGCTGAGTGGAAGAATCAACCGATTACCTTTACATCTGCTGATCTCAATACAGTCGTCACACCCCACAATGACCCCCTAGCCACTTCTGTCACGATTAACAATTGTGAGGTGCAGCGCGTCCTTGTTGACATAGGGAGTGCATCAGACATCATGTACTTTCATTGTTTTGAAAGTCTTAAGTTGGATCCGACTTTGTTGCAACGGTATGATGGTCCCATCTACGGATTCAACAACTAGCCAGTCCCAGTTGAAGGAGTCCTCACAATGAATGTTGCATTTGGAAGTGGCCGGAGTTATGTGACCCCTTCAGTTAGGTTTCTGGTAGTCAAGATGGCGTCCTCTTTCAACGTCGTCATTGGCCGACCAACACTGACTGAAATCCGAGTTGTGGTTTCCCAATCTCACCTATGCATGAAATTCCCAACTCCTACGGGAATAGCAACGTTGCGAG